GGGACCAAGAGGAACAGGCCCAAAAGTAAAAGCGAGATCAGAGAAAGGCCGCAGCCTTAGTCATGGTCCTCAGACAAACAAATCTTGGTGGTTCAGAGGGGACAGAAAATGGAGCAGGAATCACCCAGCAGGGCTTGTTATCAGTGTGGTTTACAATGACACTTTAAAAAAGATTGTCCAATGAGAAACAAGCTGCCCCCTCGTCCATGTCCGCTATGCCGAGGCAATCACTGGAAAGTGCACTGCCCCAGAGTGCAATGGTTCTCTGGGCCAGAAGCCCCCAACCAGATGATCCAACAACAGGACTGAGGGTGCCCAGGGCAAGTGCCGGCTCATGTCATCACCCTCACTGAGCCCCGGGTATGTTTAACCATTGAGGGCCAGGAAATTGACTTCCTCCTGGACACTGGCATGGCCTTTTCAGTGTTAATCTCCTGTCCCAGACGACTGTCCTCAAGGTCCATTACCATCTGAGGAATCCTGGGACAGCCTGTAACCAGGTATTTCTCCCACCTCCTCAGTTGTAAGTGGGAGACTTTGCTCTCTTCACATGGCTTTCTTGTGATGCCTGAAAGTCCCACACCCTTATTAGGGAGGGATATATTAGCGAAAGCTGGAGCTATTATCTACATGAATATGGGGAACAAGTTACCCATTTGTTGTCCCCTACTTGAGGAGGGAATCAACCCTGAAGTCTGGGCATTGGAAGAACAATTTGGAAGGGTAAAAAATGCCTGCCCAGTCAAAATCAGGCTAAAAGATCCCACCACTTTTCCTTATCAAAGGCAATATCCATTAAGGCTTGAAGCTCATAAAGGATTACAGGCTATTGTTAAACATTTAAGAGCTGAAGGCTTAGTAAGGAAATGCAGCAGTCTCTGCAACACCCCAATTCTAGGAGTACAAAAACTGAACAGTCAGTGGAGACTAGTGTAAGATCTTAGACTCATCTAATGAGGCAGTAATTCCTCTATATCCAGTTGTACCCAAGCCCTATACCCTGCTCTCTCAAATACCAGAGGAAGCAGAATGGTTCACTGTTCTGGACCTCAAGGATGCCTTCTTCTGTATTCTCCTGCACTCTGACTCCCAGTTTCTCTTTGCCTTTGAGGATCCCACAGACCACACATCCCAACTTATGTGGACGGTCTTTCCCCAGTGGTTTAGGGATAACCCTCATCTGTTTGGTCAGGCACTGGCCCAAGATCTAGGCCATTTCTAAAGTTCAGGCACTCTAGTCCTTCAGTATGTGGATGATTTACTTTTGGCTACCAGTTCGGAAACCTCATGCCAGCAGGCTACTCTAGATTTCTTGAACTTTCTAGCTAATCAAGGGTACAAGACATCTAGGTTGAAGGCCCAGCTTTGCTTACGGCAGGTCAAATATTTAGGCCTAATCTTAGCCAGAGGAACCAGGGTCCTCAGTAAGGAACGAATATAGCCTATACTGGCTTATCCTTGCCCTAAGACATTAAAACAGCTGCAGGGGTTCCTTGGAATCACCAGCTTTTGCCAACTATGGACCCCCAGATACAGCAAGATAGCCAGGCCCCTCTATACTCTAATCAAGGAGACCCAGAGGGCAAATATTTATCTAGTAGAATGGGAACCAGAGGCAGAAACAGCCTTCAAAACCTTAAAGCAGGCCCTAGTACAAGCTCCAGCTTTAAGCCTTCCCACAGGACAAAACTTCTCTTTATACATCACAGAGAGAGCAGGGATAGTTCTTGGAGTCCTTACTCAGACTCGTGGGACAACCCCACAACCAGTGGCATACCTAAGTAAGGCCATTGATGTAGTAGCAAAAGGCTGGCCTCACTGTTTACGGGTAGTTGCAGCAGTGGCCATCTTAGTGTCAGAGGCTATCAAAATAATACAAGGAAAGGATCTCACTGTCTGGACTACTCATGATGTAAATGGCATACTAGGTGCCAAAGGAAGTTTATGGCTATCAGACAACTACCTACTTAGATACCAGGTGCTACTCCTTGAGGGACTGGTGCTTCAAATACGTACGTGCGTGGCCCTCAACTCTGCCACTTTTCTCCCAGAGGATGGGGAACCAATCGAGCATGACTGCCAACAAATTATAGTCCAGACTTATGCCGCCCAAGATGATCTTTTAGAAGTCCCCTTAGCTAATCCTGACCTTAACCTATATACTGATGGAAGTTCATTTGTGGAGAATGGGATACGAAGGGCAGATTATGCCATAGTTAGTGATGTAACCATACTTGAAAGTAAGCCTCTTCCCCTAGGGACCAGTGCCCAGTTAGCAGAACTAGTGGCACTTACCCAAGCCTTAGAACTGGGAAAGGGAAAAAGACTAAATGTGTATACAGATAGCAAGTATGCTTATCTAATCCTACATGCCCATGCTGCAATAAGGAAAGAAAGGGAGCTCCTAACCTCTGGGGGAATGCCCGTTAAATACCACAAGGAAATTATGGAGTTACTGCATGCAGTGCAAAAACCCAAGGAGGTGGCAGTCTTACACTGCTGAAGCCATCAAAAAGGAGAGAGGAGAACAGCAGCATAAGTGTCTGGCAGAGGCAGGGAAAGACCAGCAGAAAGGAAAGAGATAAAGAGACAGAAATTCAGAGAGAAAGAAAGAGAAAGAGAGAGACAAAGTCAAAGACAGAAGGAAAGAGAGAGATAGAAGTAGTCAAGAAAAAACAGTGTACCCTATTCCTTTAAAAGCCAGGGTAAATTTCTGTCTACCCAGCCAAGGCATATTCTTCTTATGTGGAACTTCAATCTATATCTTCCTCTCAGACAGTCTGCAAGAAATAACGAAATCTATCTTTACTCTACAATCCCAAATAGACTCTTTGGCAGCAGTGACTCTCCAAAACCGCCAAGGCCTAGACCCCCTCACTGCTGAGAAAGGAGGACTCTGCACCTTCTCAGGGAAAGAGTGTTGTTTTTAGACTAGCCAGTCAGGGATAGTAAGAGATGCTGCCTGGTGTTTACAGGAAAAGGCTTCTGAAATCAGACAACGCCTTTCAAACTCTTATACCAACCTCTGGAGCTGGGCAACATGACTTCTCCCCTTTCTAGGTCCTGTGACAGCCATTTTGCTGTTACTTGCCTGTATTTTTAACCTCCTTGTCAAATTTGTTTCCTCTAGGATTGAGGCCATCAAGCTACAGATGGTCTTACAAATGGAACCCCAAATGAGCTCAACTAACAACTTCTACCAAGGACCTCTGGACTGACCCACTGGCCCTTTCACTGGCCTAAAGAATTCCCCTCTGGAGGACACTACAACTGCAGGGCCTCTTCTTCACCTCTATCCAGCAGGAAGTTAGCTAGAGCTGTCATTGGCCCATTCCCAACAGCAGTTGGGGTGTCCTGTTTAGAGGGGGGATTGAGAGGTGAAGCCAGCTGGACTTCCTGGGTTGAGTGGGGACTTGGAGAACTTTTCTGTCTAGCTAGAGGATTGTAAACACACCAATCAGTGCTCTATGTCTAGCTAAAGGTTTGTAAATGCGCCAATCAGCACTCTGTAAAAATGTACCAATCAGCGCTTTGTGTCTAGCTAAAGGTTTATAAATGCACTAATCAGCACTCTGTGTCTAACTAAAGGATTGTAAACGTACCAACCAGCACTCTGTAAAATGGACCAATCAGCACTCTGTAAAACGGACCAATCAGCACTCTGTAAAATGGACCAATCAGCAGGACATGGGTGGGGTCAAATAAAGGAATAAAAGCTGGCTACCCGAACCAGCAGCGGCAACCCACTCGGGTCCCCTTCCATGCTGTGGAAGCTTTGTTATTTTGCTGTTCACAATAAATCTTGCTGCTGCTCATTCTTTGGGTCCACACTGTCTTTACAAGCTGTAACACCGTGAGGGTCTGTGGCTTCATTCCTGAAGTCAGCAAGACCAGAAACTCAAGGGGAGGAACAACCAACTCCGGATATACCACCTTTAAGAGCCGTAACACTCACTGTGAAGGTCTGCGACTTCACTCCTGAAGTCAGCAAGACCACGCACCTACTGGAAGGAACTCTGGACACATCTGAACATCTGAAGGGACAAACTCCGGACACACCATCTTTAGAGCTGTAACACTCACCACAAGGGTCCTTGGCTTCATTCTTGAAGTCAGCGAGACCAAGCACCCACCGGAAGGAACCAATTCCAGACACAATGATTATAAGTTTTCCGAGGCCTTCCCAGCCATGCAGAACTGTGAGTCAATTAAACCTCTTTTCTTTATAAATTACCCAGTCTCGGACAGTTCTTTATAGCAGTGTGAGAATGGACTAATACGTAACCATTTAGTGTGAAAAACTAAAATATGGAAGAGAGTTTTAAGAAGACCTAGAAACAGGGTATCATCTTTACAAATCTCTAAATTTTGCACATAATATAGATAGTTGAGAAACTGAATTAGTTCCTTCTTTGGAAGTCATTGCAGTACTTTCTTAGTTCCAAAGTTTTGCTTAATGTTTCATAATCTGTGGCCCTTACTTTTTTAAACTGTCAGATGCTCCATAGATGGTATAACTACTCCTTTACCAAGCTTTCAGTGTACTGATACAGAACTGACTGAAGGAGCAGCCAGAGGGTGGAAAAAGCTACCAGAAGGAACTTAAAGAACAAAGCCAGAAAGTCAAGCTCAGACAAAATCAAACAGAAAAAGGCAAACATTAAATGCTGGAAACACCAGTTAGAAATACACTTTTGATGAGGTTAGTGGCAAAATCTAAGTAATTCAGAGCTGGAAAGACATGTATAGTAATTGGCAACATTCAAGATAACTCTGATGTACCCATGGCTCATTTTCATCAGCCAATGAACTACCTGAAAGGTAAAAACTGATAATAGACACCAAGCTTAGTATACAATAAATAGTCAATAAATATTGTCTTCCTTCCCACTGCCATCTCTAGGTCATCAGAGAAGTTCTGTTCTTAAGGTACAACCATGCAGCATACAGTAGGTGGATGATTTAACTCGAACACAGACTGAAGTTTCACGTGTACGCACCTGATTGCCATAAACATACAAAAAGTGGCTTCGGGGATGGAATACCATTCCAACGGGAGAAGAGAATGATGGAGGAAACCGAAAAATTGGAAATTTTGCTTGTGCACTTGGTTCATTATTTCTCAGGATGCTCACAGAGACAACGGCAGTTTTCTTAACCTAGGTAAACAAAGAATGAGCAAGTCATGAGAATTTTGCCATTATTATTAGTCAGTGTTACAATTTTTAGAATTTCCTGTTACCTGCATTTTTATTAAGAGAGAGATACACTCACTAACACAACATAGAACTAGAAGGATTAACAGTAATTGTTATCTCTTTACTCCACTACTCTGGCCCCTGCCACACACACATTTTATAGTTGTTGAAAATGAAGTTCAGGAGATTAAATAATTTGTTGAAAGTTCTATAATTAACAGCAAAGAGGTTTATTATAGAATCACTGCTGAACTTGGCAGACAGACTCCAAAGCTCATGCTTATGACTATCATGCCAAAAGTATGGATGCCTAAGCCACACCCCAGTTCTATTCAACCATGATTTTAAAGGGGATCAGAATATGACAGCTCAGGCCAGGCACAGTCTTCAGCTTAAAATTATCTTTATATAAAAGTGTTTGTAATCTCAGCACTTTGGGAGGCCTACGCGAGTGGATTGCTTGAGCCTAGGAATTTGAGAACAGCCTGGTCAACAAAGTGAGACCCAACTGCATAAAAAAAATTAAAAATTAGCCAGGCACGGTGGCATGCACCTGTAGTCCCAGCTACTAATCAGGCCGAGGCAGAGGATCGCTTGAGCCAGGTGTTAGAGACTATGGTGAGCTATGATCACACCACTGTACTCCAGCCTGAGTGACAGAGTGAGACCGTCTCAAAAGAAAAAGAAAAGAGATATGAAACCTCAAAATATGCTACTTTTGGCCAGGCACAGTGGCTTACGCCTATAATCCCAGCACTTTGGGAGGCCGAGCTGGGTGGATCACTTGAGGCTAGGAGTTCGAGGTCAGCCTGGACAAAATGGTGAAAACCTGTCTCTACTAAAAATACAAAAATTAGCTGGCGTGGTGGCACACACCTGTAATTTCTGTTACTTGGGAGGCTGAGGTGGGAGAATCTCTTGAACCTGGGAGGCAGATGTTGTAGTGAGCCAAGATTGCTCCACTGCACTCCAGCCTGGGTGACAGGGACTCTGTCTCAAAACAAAAAAATGCCACTTTTATATAAAGAAAATTTTAAGCTGAAGACTGTTGAGGTTTAACAGATGCAGAGAAAAAACTTTGGAGCCTCTGGTATCTGACTAAAAGCAGGAACTGCTAGGAAATGAGGCTGACAGAAATTCCTCTTTGGGTCAGATCTACTCCCAGAAGGAAGAATGCAAATAAAATCTGTCCCAAATCCCTTCTCCAGAGGAGTTTTATAGCCCTGAAGGAGAAGGAAAGACCACTCATACCTAGATTTTCAAACATTATCGAAATCTTTCATATCTCCTAGCCAGGTGCTGTGGCTCATGCTTGCAATTCCAGCACTTTGGGAGGCCAACGTGGGTGGATCACCTGAGGTCAGGAGTTCAAGACTAGCCTGGCCAACATGACAAAACCTCATCTCTACTAAAAAATACAAAAATTGGCCAGGTGTGGTGGCGGGCACCTGTAATCCCAGCTACTTGGAAGGCTATGGTAGGAGAATTGCTTGAGCCTGGGAGGCGGAGGTTGCAGTGAGCTGAGGTTGCAGTGAGCTGAGATTGCACCACTGCACTCCAGCCTGGGCAGCAGAGTGAGACATCATCTCAAAAAAGCCCCAAAGAACAAACAAACAAATAAAAAATCGTATCTTCTGTTTGCTGTCCTGAAAACCCATTTATCTTTTTTTTTTTTTTTTTTAAAAAGCAATTTGTGTTTCCATAAATGATTTTCTCCCTCTCCCCTTCACCTATTAAGATGGTACCTAACCTCCAAATTTTAACCTCATCACTGAGTTTCCCATGTGTGCACACTGCACATGTAAATAAACTGTTTTCTCCTATTAATCTTTTTTTTTTCCGGTTTAATTTGCAAGGCTCCAGTCATTGAACATAAGAAGGTGGAGGAAAGAGTTTTTTCCTTCCCTACAATCTTGATGATAGGGGCTGAACTTATGGTTTTATTTGTTTGTTTGTTTGTTTTCTCAGACTGGGTTTTGCTCTGTCACCTCGACTGGAGAGCTAGAGTGCAGTAGTGCCTCACTGTGGTCTTGAAGTCCTGGCCTCAAGCTTCCTGCCTCAGCCTCCCGAATTGCTGGGATTACAGGCATGAACCATCACAACTGTCAGTTTATGTGTTTTTTAATGGCTCCACGAAGAATTCTAATTCACAGGTAAGGTTAAGGACGTTTGGAAGAAAAAAATATAGATCTATGGCAATTAATTCCATTTTTTTCTGTTTAATCATTTTATGGAATCTTAAATTTATATAGAAAAATCCCAGCTTATATTCTTTAGAGAATTAGCAAGGGAGAATCACTATGCACACAGCATCACGTTTTCCATTTTCATCAAAATGAATGACAATCAGGCAAGAAATCTCTGAAGTGTCAAGCTATATTACTGATCTTAAATAATTTTGCTGTAGCCAATTTTATTAGGTTCTATTGCCAGACATAACAAGAACTTGAAAATAACTTTTGCTAAGGTAAATTTTTATTGTTGTCATGTCAAGATAAATTCCCTCTGGGATATAAGGCGTACCTTGTTATGGAAGAGGAAAACTCCCGTACCATGCTCTTGGTCAACAAGAAATGTTAGCACTCTTGGAATACTTTTCATTCCTTTAAAAACGTAAGGTAAGCAGGGTACCCATTCAAGAAGTGGTTCCTGACTATAAAAACAAGAGCTTGACTATAAAAAAAAAAAAAGAAGGGAAAAATTAACGCTGTTTTTGAAATATGAGTTCTAATTCTCTTAGTGAAACTAGCCCAATTGTTCATAGAACTAATATTTACAGTTTTTTTTTAACAAACAGAAACTAACCCTCCCTCCCTGGTCTTAAAACCCACTGGTCTTTAAACTCCTGGTCTTAAAACCTACATTTGTCTCATCTGAATTCCTTATTTAGGAAATTGACCCTCAGGCAAGAAACTTGACCCTCAGGCAAGGAACTGAAACTCAACAGATCACCACATCCAGATAATGAGAAGTCAGACTCCTCATCCATCATGATTGCTTCCTTACCCATCTCTAATTCCTGTTTTCCTACCTTCCTTTCTGTGTAAATCCCCCAATTTTACTCAGAGAGACAGGCTTGAGATTTTTATCTCCCATTCTCCTTGGCTGCAGCACCCGATTAAAGCCTTCTTCCCTGGCAATACTTGTTGACTCAGTGATTGGCAGTCTATACAGCAAGCAGCAGGACCTAGACTGAATCCCTGGTGCTTTAGTAACAGTAGGAAAATAAATTAACAACCATTGTGTTGCTCTGACTGATCACAATTGTTTTTTTCTTTTTTTAAATCCTTAATGTGACTGGGTTTGGTGGCTCACGCCTGTCACCCCAGCACTTTGGGAGGCTGAGAGGGGTGGATCATGAGGTCAAGAGATCAAGACCATCCTGGCCAACATGGTGAAACCCCGTCTCTACTGAAAATACAAAAATCAGCTGGACATGGTGGAGTGTGCCTGTAGTCCCAGCTACTTGGGATGCTGAGGCAGGAGAATCGCTTGAACCTGGGAGACAGAGGTTGCAGTGAGCCAAGATTATGCCACTGCACTCCAGCCTGGAGACAGAGTGAGACTGTCTCAGGAAAAAAAAAAAAAAAAAAATCCTTAATGTCTGTGCCTCTCTTCTGAGGGATATGAGCCCAGAAAACATTGCAATGCATCTCTTTCTGGTACAAATTGTTTTTCTAGAATCATTGCTTAGGTCCTGATTAACATAATTAGGTAAGTACTACTAAACCCAAGTAGAAACACCCCTGGGAGCAAAGAGTGATTGTGAAGCCTTTCAGTCTGTAGGATTTTTTAGATTAATCACAATCCATGAAGTCATGTACAACAAAATTTCTTAACTTATAAAATATTCGATATCATACCTCACTTAGGGTTCTGTTTCTCTCAAAGGTGACTGTAACATAATCAACTGTAAAATAAATACAAGGGTACAGGAATTATGAGCACATCTGTATTTCTAAAACTGGAAGGGTTAGTCTTAATAGTCATCATGAAAATCATAGAAGTTATTTTTGCAAGTAAACCTTATGGTAAATGAAAATAATAATAATAAAAGTTATGTATCATCAAGTAATGTATACTTGAATCTAATTTTCTTATCCCTATTGCAAGTGTACCTATTGTCTCAGATTTAAGTTAGAATTTTTTTTTGTTTTAGGTCATTAACTTATATAAAGCAAACTTATCTTTATATTTTGGTCTAGTTTTATTTTATGTCATTTTATTAAATCTAGTTGTAACTGAGTAGCTTAGATTCAAAATGCATTTTAAAACTTTTTTTATTCCTTTCTTGATTTCTGCCTTTAAAACATACTTTGGAACTTTGTTTCCCTCCCTTCCCATCTAACACTCCCTTGCACTGCTGACTTATTTAATTATGTGCTTGCTTAGAAGTTCCAGGGGCTAATTTTGAAACAAATCAGACATGGAGAGTCAGTTGTAAAATTCCAGAGATTACCTCAAGGAGGTTAGTCTACAACCTGGCCATCACGAAGATGACACCAGCCTATGCTCCAGGTAGACCATGATCCAAGACAGCCACTGGGACAAAACACACAGACCTTGTACCCAGCATCATTCCTGCATGCCTTCCACCCCAAGTTCCCCCTTCTAAACTCCTCTCCCCAGCCTAAAGTTTGGAATAGTCTTTTAAAGGCATGCGCCTGGCCACTCTCCCAACTGCTGGCTTTTGGAATAAAAGTCACTTTCCTTTCACTGCATCTCATCCTTGTTCATTTGGCTTTATATGTGGCAAGCAGCCAAGCTTGCATTCATTACAAATTTGGTAGTCCCTTTAGGGAGTCTGCATTTTGAGTGGTCTAGTCTGTCAACCTAGTTTGCAGCGAGTGGGGGAATTGGCTGCAGCAGTGTGCCAGGGCTTTCCTCTTCATGCTACCGGATGGGAAAAGAGTTGCTCATGAATACTAGCTGCTGCTGGCAAGCTGACCCTGCAGCTGCGGCTCTGGGCATTTTCCTGGCAGCTGCTGAGATACTTTTGTCTCAGGCAATCTTCCTTCTCTCCCTGTCATGGCGTTAGCTGCCTACTACACTTTGCTGGTGTAGGGTAGGTGACATGTGAAGAAGTTGACGGACTTCAGAACTGGATAAGTCAACTGGAATGCACCCAGTTCTCCTCTGTCTCTTCTGTGGTAACACTTGAGCTCTGCTCCATTTGGACATAGCTGCTTGTGACATTGTCTGGGCAGGTACACCATCTTTATCTGTGGCATCACTTGAGCTTTGTTCTGTCTTGACCTAGCTGCTCATGGGGCCATCTGAAGTTGAGACAAGGTTTCAGGACTTTTATCCAGTCCCCTTGATGGGGAATCAGCCTGGGAGTGTACCATCTGAATCTACAACTGTGTATGTATGTGATCTACATTTGGGCCCTTATCTACTTGCAACTTTCTTTCCTTCTTTCTCTACCCTTTAAGGCAGCATGTATAAGCCCCCCACTCAATCTAGGGATCCAACCCTGAAGTAGAACAACTTCTGTCACCCTGGCTCTTGGCTGGATTGCTCTGTATTGGACCCCAAAGTACTTCTCAGAGCTGTGCCAAATCTTATGGGGGAAAGAAGCATGTGAATTCTTCTGTAGGTTATCTAAATGGGCCTGTATCCCACTTACGGTTTTCAATGCTATTTATCGGAAATACCTGGGAAAAATGTTGAAACAGTCCCAACTCCAATTCTTTTGCCCTTTGCCCTTTCTGTCCACTTGTTCTGCCATCTCATTTGTTGCCCTTCCATTACTGCTTACTGGGATTGCAGCACGACCTGGACTTAGATTAAGGTGGATATGCTAAAAAAAAGGCTATACTGGTCATTGCCAGTCATTAGCATATTGGGGAAATTAATTCTTTGACACATTTGGCTCTCCTAACTGTGTGGCAAAATTTACACAGGCATGCCTATTGGGACAATGAATGGTACCATCAACACCGGTTGTGTAAAGTAAGGAGAATTCGCCCAATTCCTGGCAATCTAGTTGCAGGGAATTATTGATAGAGGCAAAAGCAAGGCATCAATAGAGGCTGCTCCTCTGCTCACTAGAGGCCCCTGATTTTGGGACTCCAGCTGGTTACATATTATGGTCCACTTCTGTGCACATTTTAAACTGATGGGCAAATTATAGCAAAAAAAAAAAAAAAAAAAAAAAAAAAAAATCAGAGCTCACATGGTTAATTTGCAACTGTAAAGTTAATCAGAGTTCTAAAGCTACCTTCTCTTTTTTTCCTGCCTGCCTTGAATATGCTTTGAATCTGCTTTTACTAAGATGTGGTGCTAAGATAGGACTCATTATTTATGTTCTAACTGAAATGTAAACATTGGAAACTCATTTGGAATGGAAGAAAAACAGGATAAAAGAGACTTTTAAAAACGGAACTGCCACATGAAATTTAAAGTAGTTTCTTCTAATTCTGTAAGGAATGTCAATGGTATGGAACCAAAAAAGAGCCCGTATAGCCAAGACAATCCTAAGCAAAAAGAACAAAGCTGGAGGCATCATGCTACCTGACTTCAAACTATACTTCAAGTCTACAGTAATCAATACAGCATAGTACTTGTACCAAAACAGACATCTAGACCAATGGAACATAACAAAGATCTCAGAAATAACACCACACATCTACAACCATCTCATGTTTGAAAAACCTGAGAAAAACAAGCAATGGGGAAAAGAATTCCCTATTTAATAAATGGTGCTGGGAAAACTGGCTAGCCATATGCAGAAAACTGAAACTGAACCCCTTCCCCACACCTTATAGAAAAATTAACTCAAGATGGATTAAAGGCTTAAATGTAAAACCCAAAGCCATAAAAATCCTAGAAGAAAACCTAGGCAATACCATTCAGGACATAGGCATGGGCAAAGACTTCATGATGAAAACACCAAAATCAATTGTAACAAAAGCCAAAATTGACAAACAGGAGCTAATTATACTAAAGAGCTTCTGCACAGCAAAAGAAACTATCATTAGAGTGAACAGGCAACCTACAGAACGGGAGAATATTTTTGTAATCTACCCATCTGACAAAGGGCTAATATCCAGAATCTACAAGGAACTTAAACAAATTTGCAAGAAAAAAAACAACCCCATCAAAAAGTGGGCAAAGGATATGAACAGACACTTCTCAAAATAAGACATTTACGCAGCCAACAAACATATGAAAAAAGAGTGCAACATCACTAATTGTTAAAGAAATGCAAATCAAAATCACAATGAAATACCATCTTACACCAGTCAGAATGGCGATTAATAAAAAGCCAAGAAACAATAGATGCTGGCAAGGCTGTGGAGAAATAGGAATGCTTTTATACTGTTGGTGGGAATGTAAATTAGTTCAGCCATTGTGGAGACAGTGTGGCAATTCCTCAAGGATCTAGAACCAGAAATGCCATTTGACCCAGCAATCCCATTACTGGGTATATACTCAAATGAAAATAAATCATTCTACTATAAAGACACATGCACATTTGGGCCCTTATCTACTTGCTACTTTATTGCAGCACTAGTTACAATAGCAAAGACATGCAACCAAGCCAAATACCCATCAATGATAGATGGGATAAAGAAAATGGGTACATGTACACCATGGAATACTATGCAGCCCTAAAAATGAATGAGATCATGTCCTTTGCAGGGACATGGATGAAGCTGGAAGCCATAATCCTCAGCAAACTAGCACAGGAACAGAAGAAAACCAAACACCACATGTTCTTACTTGTAAGTGGGAGTTGAACAATGAGAACACATGGACACAGGGAAAGGAACAACACACAACAGAGCCAGTTGGGTGGGGGGCAAGGGAAGAGAGAGCATTAGGACAAATAGCTAATGCATGTGGGGCTTAAGACTTAGATGACAGTTGATAGATGCAGCAAACCACCATGGCACATATATATCTATGTAACAAGCCTACACGTTCTGCATTTGTATCCTGAAACTTAAAGTAAAATAGAAATAAAAATAAAAAACAAAACTGAACTGCCATAGAGACTGCTTTACCCAAATTTTGGTCCGTCGCTTTTCTTGGATTACCTACTAAGGCAAACAAAGTTCAGCCATGTGAACAGATTCCAATTTTGTCACAGAAATAATTCAGATCCAGCTATCTTTTATAAAATGATGAGATTATATTGCTATCTTATGGCTAGAATTTGAAGGTAAAAGCTATTGGATATTTGTGTGTGCATATACATGTTTAGATATGTTTATGTGATGTTGATGTATTATGTGATGTGTCATATCTGGCACATTACCAAGCTGGCTTATAAGTAAATGAGTACTCATAAATGAAATCCAAAAGCTCTTCAAATTCACACGAATCTTTGATAAATAAAACTGGTTTTAAATATGATTAATAAAATTAACATAGAAATGTCTTCAGAAGTGTCAGTATACATTTTTGTCTGAATTTACTGATTAGATATGTTTTGTACTTGCCTCTGCTAGATATATTAAACTGTCTGGATTTGGCATAAAAGTTATAAGGCTATAAACCCAGCCAAAAGCAGAATGATCTTTGTTTGTATGATTTTTTTGATACATAAGACTAATTTAATATTGGTGGTTCAATGGAAACAGCCAAATCTTCTAAGTTGTCAGCAAAATGCCCATGTGTTTAACTTTAAGGTTCTTAGGTGAACCCCTGATGTTTATGAGCTTTAAAAATGGTTAACAGGAAAATAACTTTAAATAATGACTAGTGCTAATATCTCAGTTTTCAAAAGTAATCTAGATTAATGATTAAAAATGAAAAAATCAAATACATGTAAATGGGATAAATGCTTGCAGGTAAACTTTTTATGAAATTTAAAATCTTAAAATTATTTTGTCTGCTCATTTTGATGTCTGGGTCATTTCCAACTAAAAAAGGGTTATGATGTGGGAAAACATGTTTATAAAACTTGTAGAATTATTTCATCTATAAAATGTTAACATCTGATAAACAGTTCAGGATTTCTTGCTTCCTAAGCTTTCACTAAAGTTTAAAGTTATTAAAAATAAAAATACTAGTTAATATATAATTCTGTAAGTTGCGTTCTTATTAAAATACTTTTTGTATGAGAAAATATCTTATATGGTAAATCTCTGTCCTAAAGTAAAATGGTTGTTTAGGAAAGAGGTAATATAGGACAAGATAGAAAGTCTAAGCATGCTATAGATGGCCTGTGTCATAAGCCATATCCATAGATGGCCTATGTCAGATGTAAGATTTTACATCTTATCAAGATAATTTCTATGTTGTCTTTATTAGATTTTTGATAGCTTAAAAAACCTGAGATTTAAAAGGGTTAAGGTTTTTACAGCCACATAACCTTCTACATTGCCCTTAAAGTCTTTTGATTATCACTTTGATTAAATGAATAACTATTATTTTACAATGACCTATTCTTCTATTTTGACCAAATGTTTTGAACCTTTTAGCATCTTTCACAAACGTCCTCAAAATCTAATCCTAAATTAAGTCTCTGACTTATTTCTTGGGCTCATCAAAGCTATAAAAATTAATCAATGCAAGTATGTAAATCTTTTTATGGCTTCCAGTCAGGTCATAGACTCCAGTATCACCATCTCCAGCTTCTTGAAAAGGTCCTTAACAGGTGCTATTAACTAATCCATGTGCTGTTAAGTTACAGGGCTTTAACTCCTAGATGGACATATCTTATCTAAAGAAGATGCTGCCTCTGCCAGTATCTGATACTAATCTCAAGTCAACCAAAGCCTCATCTTTAGACCCAGACAAAGGTGACAATCAAAGTATACTGCCTTAATAGGACACAGGACAAGCCTGTATTAAAAAACATTAAGATTCATTTACTAATTTTGCCCCATCTGAATTAATATAATTTATTCTGTGCCTTAATTCTAAATAATTTAAATGTTTAGCTACCTGTGAGCTTCCTTTCCTGTCATTCTCAGAATGAGGCAAGGCTTATAACCATTTTGTTTGAAATGTTGCTAATTATGTTTTACTTTATCTCCAAAATTGAAACTATCCAGTCCTTCCAGGCCCAGGGACTATTGCAGAAGAGGTGGTCATGTGATATTATAAGGGCTGGTTTTGAGGCATAAACTTAGTTCAGAACCTCCAAATCAAGGACAGGCACACAGATGCCTAAACAGCTAAACAAAATGCTTGTGTTTTGTATAACTAATTGCTACAAGCTAAGATTATAGTAGCCCAATGCATAAAATATATACATAAGTCAATTTTGTAACTTTGTTTTTTGGCTTTTGGATTTTAGCCCTTATGCTGCTCACAAGGAATTTTAAGGGTTAATGAGTGCCTGCCCACCTCCATTATAATCTGGCCTGACTCTAAGTTCCTTGGCTATAGGTGTCCCACTGGAGGGCATGATGGACCTGGGACAGGTAGTCACACCACCCCAGCATTAGTATGGGACAAAGTAAAACTTGGCCATTGATACTGCCTCTGGCATATCTTTACCAAAAAAGAGGAAATATAAACCAAAAAATAAAATACTGAGTCCCCTACCAACTAAACAAATCCTCCCCCTTGGCCAAAGGAACCCCAAGAAAAACCCTTAAAAACTTAATTCCCAGCCATGATGGGATGGAAAGTCAGGCATGCCTCATTATATTCCCTCTGTTTTATGATTTAGACACTACAATTGATCACTATTAATTATCATAAGACTGACAGAACAGGTCTTTATGGCAATAAGCTATCAAATGATAAACAGGACCTAAGCTCATACCAGACAAGGATTAAGTCTCCCCCCAAGGTAAATGGAGTCATATGTTACATGTATGTTCATTCAATATGCATGTGTCAGGACCACTTTCATAAATATTCATAGGTCCTCCTATAACTTGTTCAATTCATACATTTGCCAATCTTTCATCATGTCCCACAGGACCCCTGAGTATGATGGACAATGGAGAACAAACTTACTTTCTTATTGATATGGGGGGCTATATATTCTATAGTTAACATCTGCCTATCCTCTGATTCAAAAAAGAATGTGATGGTTGCAGGAATGTCAGGGCAAATTGTGACTCACTCCTTCCTACAACTTGTAGATTGTCATCTTAGAGACCACAATGACAGGAGAAACTAAAGAGATGAACCACACTCTTAAAAAATTGCATTGCCAAAATATGTCAAGAAAGTAATTTGACTTGGGATTAATTTTTCCCATTGCCTTACTCTGAGTCAAAGTAACACCCCAAAGTGGGAGCAGGTTGAGCCCTTTTGAGATTGTTTATGGGAGACCCTCCCTGGGAGTCCCACCTTTAGACCTAATAAATGAATTAAGAATTAAACAATACATACACCAGTTAGGGCAGACACTACTAACCATGCATCTCTTTGCTGCTTCCAGGTCCTCATACCCTAGGGGCGAGCCCCTTCACCCTTTCCACCAAGAGTTAAGGTACTGCTAAAAAGTCTTGGGAAAAAACAAGGACCTGACTGGCAGCTACCCAAAAATGGATGGGCCTTATGATGCACTGCTGACCATGCATTCACCTGTCAAATTGGCTGGAATTAAACCCTGGATACATCACACTCAGGTGAAGGCTCATCCTCAACCTGATACTTCAGACAACCAGCCTGCCTGTTCATGTGTGCCAAGAAAAGGCCTAAAACTGTATTAAAGGAAAAAAATCACACAGATAAGTACTACCTTTTTCTTAACATGAACTTCTTAACAAGTTTTGTAGTCATGAGTACATTATTTATCTCTGCTGAAACTAACCTTTTTGCTGAATGGGCACAAATGGTAGCTTCCCTCCAGAATAGAACAGACTGCTAGGTCTGTGGGGAATTGCCCTTTCTTCCACTGCAGGCTTGCCATGGTGCATGCAAGCCACCAACCTAAGTACTTGGACTAACTTCTATACCTGGTATGGGGCACTTCACCCGTTTCCCTTTCATGGCCATAACTCATCTCATCATAAGCCTCATGAATTTCCTACTTGCCAGGAAATCAGGAAACATGTTTTTCAACTAAGTCGCGAGTAGGTCAATGTCATCTCCACCTTGGGATATGCTGTACACAATCGTGTCAGATGGCTGACAGAGGTACAAATACAGGTAATAGGTCAAGCATCACTATGCACTGAACACCATAACCACAGCACACCTCAAACTAACACCTGTAACATGGGATAGTTACCTCCCCAGCAATGTAATCAGACTCTTCAACTGACTAGCAATTATATGGCTTGGGTAGCAAAACAGCTCCTTCTCACATGGAGCCAACCCTTCCCTCTGGGACTGGCTATGGGCCTGTGGCACTCACAGTTGGCCCTTCCTACCCTTTGATTGGACTGGCAGATGCATCTGGGAGTACCCTTACCTACCAGGATGAATCCTGTTCCATGTAGACTCTGCCTGCCAACTGGAAAAGCACAGACGCCAGACACCACTGTCAAAAATGGGCATCCTGGTGGTTTAACCCACTAGCCATCTCTCTCCCCCAGGCAGTGACCATAGATGTAGAATTACAAGTAGAGGCCCTGACTAAGCATATGGCTGCTGCCTTTAATAACACCCACCATGCCATCTCTCTTCTTACTGAAGAAACTTTCAGATTAGGCAAGTGACCTTACAAAACTATTTGGCTGTAGATGTCCTGACTGCAGCCTAAAGCGGCACCAATGCATTAAGACTGTTGTCTATATATACTACATTATTCTCACAATATAACCTAAGCCATGCATGCACTGGATACTCATATTCTGCTATAGATGCCTTCTCCCAATAACGGATTGGTTTAGTCAGCCCCTTAGTGCATGGAAGACTTTCATATATAGCACAATTTTGCTCATTATCCTCTTCAGCTGCTGTGGATTTTATTGCTGTTGTATACTCCGCACAAGGATGCAGGAAAGATGTTCTCAGAAACTCCTATGTCCCTGCACCATAACACTCTCACAAATTCCTACTGCAAGTCTAGGAGCTCGAGAATATTTCCAACTCCAGGTGGACAAATTCCATTCTGGTACCTCCTACCTATGGCCCTTCTCAGCAGGAAGTAGCCAGATCAACTATGCCACCCATTTTCCATAGAAATGGAATGGAATTTCACAATGGAAATTTGCAACTGAGTGGCTTAGGTTAAAAATGCATTTTTGAAACTGTTTTTTCCTTTCTTGTTTTTGCCTTGAAACATAGTTTGAAATTCTTGGTTTCCACCCGACACTCCCTTGCACTGCTGGCTTATCTAATTATGTGCTTGCTTAGAAGTTCCAGGGTCTAAATTTGAGACAAATCAGACATGGAGACTCAGCTGTGAAATTCCAGAGATTACCTCAAGGAGGTTGGTCTACAACCTGGCCATCTTAAAAGACCATTCCAAAGGCTGAGCTTGCATTCAGTTACTCATATATGTAAAAGTCTTTTAATACAGTATATCTTTAACCAAAATTTACCTTCAAAGTGCTCTCTGTTAGCAAAACATCTTTCATTATACCACAATTTTCCTTTCACATAGTCAACCTACATGAATAAATAAAAATATCACTTAGCCAATATGTAGACTTAAGATATCTTCAGATATTATAAGATAGAAAAAACTAAAAAATTTCAAAGTTTGATAGTTCAGCAATGTGAGGCAAATAAAGAGACAAAAACTGTATGCAAATAAAATGAAAGATTATAGAATGAGGACAAGAAACAGGAATATACATTTTGAACAATGCACAAAAAAGGCATAAAAAGAAAAGAAATCACACATGAATTAGTGTATGTTAATGGAGGATGCCTTTGTCTATGAACTGTCTTTCAGAAGCTACCAGAAGTCATTGGTCTTTCAGCACAGTTACAATGGGTCACATGTTTATCTTTTATCCTCATTAGTGGCAGCTGGGTTTAAGGAGCATTCCCAGAAGCCTGACAGCAGCAAGAAGCAACAGGAAAAAGGTTTTGAAAATTGGTCATGAGAGAGAAGCTTCAAATATATTGAATATGTTGGATATAAATGTTGGATATTAATTAAATGCAACAATTTGAGATTATTTTATTATAGGAAGATTCTGACCTTCAAATTTCTGTTGGGATGTAAGAAGGACTTTCTCACATTTTTATAGATCAATAATATAATCTGTATGATTTGTGTGCAGAAGCCTTTGCTGATTTCTAATGATAAAACTTGAACACATGAGGAGACACTTCTTTGTTTTTTTGTTTTTTGCTTTTTTTAATTGAGAAGGAGTCTTACTCTGTTGCCCAGGCTGGAGTGCAGTAGCACGATCTTGGCTCACTACAACCTCCGCCTCTCAGGTTCAAGTGATTCTCCTTGCCTTAGCCTCCTGAGTAGCTGGGATTATTAGCCACCATGCCTGTCTATTTTTTTTTTTTTTTGTAGTTTAGTAGAGATGGGGTTTCACTATGTTGGCCAGGCTGGTCTTGAACTCCTGACCTCAAGTGATCCACCCACCTCGGCCTCCTAAAGTGCTGGCATTATGGGTGTGAGCCACCACACTGACAGAGGAGACACTTTATTTATTGATTGATTGATATGGGGTCCTGGCTCTGTCACCCAGGCTAGAGTGCAGTGGCATGATCATAGCTCACTCCAGCCTCAAACTCTTCAGCTTAAGCAATCCTCCCACCTCAGCCTCCCAAATAGCTGGGACCACAGGTGTGCATCACCATGCCTGGGTAATTTTTAAATTTTTTGAGGGAAAGGAGTCTCACTATATTGCCCAGGCTGGTCTAGAACTCCTGAACTTAAGCAATTCTCCTGCTTTGGCTTTGTAAAGCACTGGGGCTATAGGCACGAGCCACTGCGCCTGGCTCCCAATGAATTTTTTTAAGTATCTACATTGTGCCATGTACGGTGCTGAAATTTTTCATATGTAATGTTATTTGATCACCTCATTTCTAAGAGGTAGATATTGTTAGACTCATTTTAAAATGACAAAATTGAGGTCCAGAGAGTTATACAACTTGTTCAAAGTTTTATGTTACATGGCTGGTAAGTTAGTCCAAAATTTGAATCCAGTCTGTCTTCATTTATTCACCCATTGACTCAATAAATTCATCGAGACTGCCTATGTGCAAGGCTGTGTGGTAACTTATCAGGATACAATAGTAAATAAGATAGACCTTGACCGGAACCTACAATCTTGTGAGGCTAGTCTGGGGGCTCAACAGACAAAATAGGGTGATAATGATAGGAATCTGTGCTGAGAACTTGGACTGTGCACAGGAGGAGCACCTTGGTGGTCAGGGAGGGATTTCTGAAGAATGAGTTGAAATTCTCTAAGTGAAATAGGAGGAAGGAGTGCATGCTAAGAAGACAAAATATGTTATGCAAAGGAGTTGAGGTGTGAGAAATGTTAGTGCATTCAGGGAAGGTAAGTGGTTTAGCATGGCCAGGCAGATGGCTGCAGGTAGGGGCAGGATGGCTGCAGGTAGAGGCAGGTACACTCAGGCTGAAGCATTAAGCATTTTGTGTGTCACAAGAATTTTAATTTTATCCTGAAAGAAGTGATCCATATTCCTTGCTGTTGCCACTAAACAGATTTTGGTGGATAACTAACAGATTTTATCTCATGCCAAACCCCCAATTTAGGGATCTTATACTTCCTATTACTTTTGCCTGGAAATGCTGTCAAAATAATTATTCCAAGTCACTCAAGTTTCTGCTTAAATTTCATCTCTTTGAAAAGGCTTGCTTTAATCACCCTATTTAAAACAGAGTATTATCTTCCCCTCACTCTTTCTCTTACTCTGCTTTAATTTCAACAAGCACTTATTACTATCTAAAATCACATTATGTATTTGTTTGTGTATTTTTTAATGGTCCAACCCCCTCAGTAGAATGTTAAGCTACATGAAAGTAGGGACTTTGTCTCGTTCACTATGGAATCCTCCTTGTCTGAATAGGCATTGAATATAGGAAGTGCTCAACAAATATTTGTTGAATGGATGAGATTTACTGAATGAATAAAATCATTAAGTGTTCACTCGTTCAATTACCTGCCTAAACACCCACATATATCTCATTCTGAACACCTTTGCTTCAATCATTAGTAAAAGAGGTCTTATTTAAAGATAGATCCTTATACCCTTAAAAATAATTTCACTTGGCCAGGCGCGGTGGCTCACGCCTGTAATCCCAGCACTTTGGGAGGCCAAGGCGGGCGGATCACGAGGTCAGCAGATAGAGACCATCCTGGCTAACACGGTGAAACCCTGTCTCTACTAAAAATAAAAAAAATAATAAAAATAAAATAAAATAAAATAGCCGGGCGTGGCGGCAGGTGCCTGTAGTCCCAGCTACTCAGGAGACTGAGGCAAGAGAATGGCGTGAACCCGGGAGGCGGAGCTTGCAGTGAGCCGAGATCGCACCACTGCACTCCAGCCTGGGCGGCAGAGCGAGACTCCGTCTCAAAAAAAATAAATAAATAAAAAATAATTTCACTTTTCCCCTTTCCTCCACTCCCCAATCCCAGCACCTCTCTACCTTCGGAACACTGTATTTCCCCTCTCCCTCATCACTATCAACCATCCCTGAGTTTTACTAAGATATTTTAGTTTAATAGGACTTATTATAATATCCTTGCTAATTGTAAAAACTTCCATGAAGGGCAATTCGTGATTTTAAAAAAATATTGCATAAGCATTTATCCCTTGATCTTCCAGGCAAGTTCTAGGATGTATTGTATCTACATGTCTGGACACATAAAATTTCTAGGTACAAAATTATTCATGGCAGCATTATTTGTAATAGCAAAATATTGGGAAATTACCCAAGCATCCAGCAATGGATGATAATTTAAATAAACTGTGGTTAGTTCATACAATGGAATACTTGTAGCTGTAAAAAAGAAACAAAAAAAGAAAAGAAAAAGAGGCTATTCTCCATTTACTAATATGGATTTTTTCCTATGATAATTATTGATAAGTGAAGAAAATAATTCAGCATAAATACATATATTTATAGTATAATAAAAGGAAGAAAAGTATATATATATTCCTAATTATTTGAATTTCCATTAGAAAACACTGAAAAGATATAAAATAAAAAAAGATTACCTGTAAGGGACAAGGAAAAATCAGGGTGAATATACAGAGAGGTGGGATAGAGACTTTTCAGTCTATATCTTTTTGTAACTTTTTTAGTTTTTAACTATGTGAATGTATTACTTATTTGAACATCATAATTTTTAGGTGTTGAAAATTCTCATTTCCCTTGCAACATGTCCTTTCTTGCTATAGGCTGTATGGGAGGGAGGTGGGGCCTTTGGGAGGTGATAAGGTGAATGGAATTAGTACCCTTATTTGATGTGGGGGTGATTCAGTGAATCGAATTAGTGCTCTTATAAAAGAGAACCCAGGGAGTCTCTTGCCCCCTGCCATGTGAGGACACAGTGAACACATGGCTGTCTACGAACCAGTAAAAGAGAACCCAGGGAGTCCCTTGCCCCCTGCCATGTGAGGACACAGTGAACACATGGCTGTCTACGAACCAGGAAGGCAGCCCTCAACAGACACTGAATCTGCCTGCACCTTTATCTTGGACTGTCCAGGCTCCAGAACTGTGAGAAATAAATTTCTGTTGTGCATAAGCCACCCAGTCTATGGTAATTGTGTTATAGCAGCCCACATTGGCTAAGATGTCTCTGTTCAAAAATCCTTATCTAGGCTGGGCACGGTGACTCATGCCTGTAATCCCAGCACTCTGGGAGGCCAAGGTGGGTGGATCGCTCAAGGTCAGGAGTTTAAGACCAGCCTGGCTAACATGGTGAAACCCTATCTTTACTAAAAATACAAAAATTAGCTGGGCATGGTAGCACACACCTGTAATCCCAGCTATTCAAGAGACTGAGGCAGGAGAATCACTTGAACCCAGGAGGTGGAGGTTGCACTGAGCCGAGATTGCCACTGCACTCCAGCTTGGGCAACAGAGGGAGACTGTCTCGGGAAAAAAAAAAAAAAAAAAAAAAAAAAAAAAATCATTATCTAGTACTCCATTTTTATTTATATGGATAGACAGAAAACACATGAATAAATATGAGATAAAATAAGAGAAACAGTCAAGCATTTCTCATCACTAGTCCTCTCCTCGTTTTCTTCCCCTTTATTGAAATGTCTGTTCTTTTTCATTTGTTTTATTAAAGTTCTTTCTTGAGTATTTTCTTTAGTTGGGATAACCAGGTCGTATACTTTCTTAATCTGAAAGGTGAATAATCTCTTGGCTGGAAATAGAAATTCTGGACTTTGGTTCTTTTGTGTTAAATAGACTGTAGATGTTGATTTCATGGTCTTCAAGCTTCTACTGTTGTGTAAATAAAATCTAATACCAGTGAGGTATATTTTGCTTTTGCTCTTTCTGTTTGGATACTTGTAATATTTCCCCCTTAACCTTAAAATTGAGGAATATTCCTTGGATATGCCTACATTTTTTCAGTGCTCCCTGGAATTTAGTGGATTATAATATATAGCTTTGGAACTTTCTTAATCTGAGTTAATGTTCTTCTTTTCTTTGTTATTATTGCCTGTCTTATATCTGTTCCTTTTTAAATTTGTCTGAAAACTCTTCTGCTCACCTGTTAGCGCTTCTGGATCTCTCCTCAAAGGCTCACTTTTGCCCTCGTGATTTCTAGTGATGTTCCTTAGATGGTTTGAGAAGTTTCTTCATCTTGATTTTCCATGCCACTACTCTGCATTTAAACAGTGGTCATTCTATCCTTCAATTTATTCCATTTTTAATGGAAATTTTGGTATTCAGTCCCAGGAAGTATTTTTATGCTGCGCTTGAAGCTCTTTATTGGTATTGACCGTGTTCTTGCTAATACCTCAGTGCTAATGATGCTAATCACAGAGTAGGTGCTCATTGGGTATTTGTGAAATGATTTTATTTAAAAATGTTATTCTTGTTCAATTGTTGCCTTATCCACCAGCAACTCTAGTTTTATTCTAATGATCTTTGCTCGCAGAATGCCAGGCTACTTAAGCGTGCCTTGAAGTATGGGCTCAGGTATGGTTTGTGGAGCACCTCGAATTTTGACAACTGGAATAATAGATGGCAAAGTGGTCTGTAGCCCTCTGGGCTGCCATGCCACCACCTTGGAAACAGAAGGGGCTCCCCTCTTTCCAGGCCTCCTTCAGCCTGCCTACCTCAGGCACAAGGAGAATGCAGCCCTCCAGGTAGGCCTATCTCCAGCCTCACCCTTAGCCACACTCCCAAAGCTGAGAGAACCCTTCCCTAGGAGTTCGTGGAGCTCTGCCAGTCAGACTCCCTCCAGAATCCTTCACCTTCCAGTCCTCTACTCCCCGCTCCGTGTTGCCAAGCACTTTGTTCTTAGGTAACCCATGAGTGAGGTAATGGCATGCCAGATCTCCTCAGTGAGATTCCTCAAAGCAGGCTTCCAGTGAGCCCAGCTGTCCAGTGACCCCAGCAGCCTTTTGACTTAGCAGGCAGGTAGGCTGAAGATGAAAGCTAAACAGAGTTAAAGGTCACAGTCTCCTCCGTCCATTTATTTTACTTTTTGTGTGATTCTTCTTTAGGTGTAACTTTTTAAAATATTTATTAGCTTTTCTTCAGTTTCCTATAATGTTCCTTTCCACTTATTGTAATTGCTGAGATATCTGGATTTATTTCTACTGTTTTACCTCATAGTTTTTCTATTCTTTAACCTTTATCTCTCTTCTCCTTTCTTCCTTTTTGTAGAATAGATGGATTGTTCTTTAATCTTGTTTTCCTTCCTCTGGAGGTTTGGAAGCTTTAGGTTATATTCTTTTTGTTTTATTTTAGTTTTTTGATAATTATCCTTCAATTCTTAACATATATGCTGAATTACATATTTTTCTAACAAATTCTTAACTTATTCCCCATATTGGTTCTCCTTACAAAGGTCTTAAATGCTTTATTATCCACTGAAAACTACTGCCATTTCTCCTTGTTATATTGTCTAGAGTTTTGGTTCCATCCAATTATTAAACACAAAATGTATAACTTATTTTTTATTTATTTAATTTTTATTTTTATTTTGAGATAGAGTCCAGCTCGGTCACCCAGACTGGAGTGCAGTGGTGTGATCTCGACTCTCTGCAATCTCTGCCTTCTGGGTTCAAGCAATTCTCATGCCTCAGCCTCCCGAGTAGTTGAGATTACAGGCATGAACCAACACATCTGTCTAATTTTTGTATTTTCTGCAGAGATGGGATTTCGTCATATTGGCCAGACTAGTCTATAACTCCTGACCTCAGGTGATCTACCTGCCTCAGCCTCCCAAGGTGCTGGGATTAAAGGCGTGGGCTACCGCACCTGGCTATAACTTATTTTTTATACCAATTCCATTCTTTGAACACATATTTACTAAGTACATACCTTGTGTCAGGTGCCATTCTAGACACTGGGATCTAGTAGTGAACAGCATAGACAGGGCTCCTGCTCTCCTAGGTCTTAGAACTTACATTCTAGTTTTTCTCATTGCTTCTGGCATCCTACTCCTTCATGGGGATTTCTGGATGGTAAACCCTCCCAATGTCTTTAGGTGTGAACATTTTCTTTTCACTCTCATTCTTGAGTTATTTAGTTTAGCTAGGTATGGAATTCTATTTTGACAGTTATTTTCCTCTGTTCTTTATAATACAAATCATTTTTGCCCATCTGGCTCTCTTAGTTCTCCGCTTTGCTTGTCCTCTGATTAGTATGACAATTAGTCAGTTCTATGTGCTTCCTGAGACATAAATGCTCCTTTCTCACAGACAGTGTGAATGTGGGTGTATGTGCACATGCACATGTGCACACAGACTGGAGCCTGCACAATACAAGATAAAGTGCAGGCAGATTCAGTGCCTGGTGAGGGCCACCTTCCTGGTTCACAGCCATCTGCTCACTCTATGAGGACAGAATAGGGAGGGCATATGGCAAATGGCTAGGAACACTCATGATTTCATTTGTGGTTTTCCAACCGAAGCATGCTTATATTCCGATGGGAATGACCTAGTCCTTTAATCACAAAACTTGACTTTTTAACATACAGAGGAGATAACTGATGGAACAAAATCCCCCAAAAGGCCAGAAGCAGACCAGTGACTAGATTATGTGACATTTTTGTGTAAGTTAGAAAAGATACCCCTCTCTCCAAGTAGGAGAGACTTACGCCTGGGTAGATGGATTGGGGAGTAAAGTGTTAGCCAGACCCCAGCACCTACTGTCTTCAATCAAGTGCCCTTGTGCAGAATCTGACCTGAACAACCACAGCTAGCCTGGACATAGCATAGGAGACGAGGTGAGGGTGGCCTCTGAAACAGGGAGGAGCACTTCTTCCTTTGAAGCAGAGGAGGCGAGCACTGCTTAATGATTGCTACAAATATATATATAAATAATATATGCTACAAATTCATATATATTTAAATATATATTTTGTTTAAACTATAAATAATATAGTAACTGGAATAACATATATTGTGAATTATTGACTTGCATCTCTTCTCAAGTCACCAAGTAAACACATATCTTCTAACCAGCCCTGGGAAATGTAAAGCTTCTTACCCTTTCAAAACCACAAAAGTCTGCTCTGGAAAACTAGAAGAAAAGAAAAAACTTTAATATTTGCTTGCATATCAGAAGGCCTAACAAAACATAGCAATTTAAATTATACCAAAGGAAATAAACCATATACATTCCTTGAAAAAAATTATACCAAAATTATATGTTTTTTCTATCCTAGCAGTTAGGATAGCCAAAAATTAAAAGCAGACTCTGATATAGTTTATACAATATCCTGGGAATTTCCCCATCAGTCTTTGCCTCATTTCATTATTTTATTAATTTACTTATACCTTAGTGTGATTCCAGAAGAAAACCATGCCTTTTAATGATTTAAATGGAAGAATTAAGAAGTATGCAGGTAGGCCGGGTGCGGTGGCTCACACCTGTAATCCTAGCACTTTGGAAGGCTGAGGCAGGTGGATCACGAGGTCAGGAGTTCGAGACCAACCTGGCCAACATGGTGAAATTCCGTCTCTCCTAAAAATACAAAAATTAACTGGGTGTGGTGGCGCATGCCTGTAATCCCAGCTACTCGGGAGGCTGAGGCAGAATTGTTTGAACCCAGGAGGAGGAGATTGCAGGGAGCTGAGATTATGCCACTGCACTCCAGCCTGGCGACAGAGTGAGACTCAGTCTCAAAAAAAAAAAAAAAAAAAAAAAAAAAAAAAAAAAAAAAAAAAAAAAACCAGAACCACTAGTCATCTGAGCAACAAATGGTACTTTCTCAGAGATGGTGAAGAAGGTTCAGGTATATGTGAATATTCTTATACCTGAAGAAAGATAATAATTACCACATATAAGAAATATCTGCCTCTCAATCAATACCATTTCCCCTTCTTTACTTCCCTCTATCTTTTCTCCTGCTGATCCCAAGTCTTTATTGCTGGTCTTATCTCTGTTGTGGTAATTTTTGAGAGGTATTTGTTAACATGTTTAAGAATTTTATGATATATCCATATTAACAATCTTCACCTAAATGTATTTCCCTTTGCTCAATCCCAATACTTACTTTTCACTTATGTTACTTTGTAATACTATATGTGGCTTTATAAATTACCTTAAAGCATTTGGGTAACATACCTAGCTATAAATAAATGGATCAATCAATAGGTAGGTAGACAGATCTTTTCTACATGTATATATTTAAAACTTACTATAAATTCATACAGCAATAAAACTAGCACCATTTCCAAATTACATATTCAACACCACGAGGCAAAGGAAAAAGTTGCTGTATTATGCCTTTGTTTTTCGAAAGAAAGAAGCATTTCAATTTTAAGATACACCACACATAACTCAAGTATTAAATATTTCTTTTTGTGTCAGAGAAGATATTTAAGGTTAGCTACCAGTTACAAAGCAGTTTACATACCGATAGAATGTGGCGTGATGGATAACGAAGATCTTCACTTATAAAAAGGCCCAAAGAGGTGAGGACGACTAAAAAATGATTTGTTAAAACCATATCCACCAATGAAAGGTCTTCATGTTCTAAACCAAGAAATCATACCATAGATTAAAAATTAAGAAAAAAGTGAGCTCCTTAGTGAAGCAAAGACAATTTATAGATATTAATCAAATATTGATATAAGTAAAATGCTCAAGATGAAGGCAATGTTAGAGGAGTTACCTCCTTCAAGTAGGGAATAGATAGCCTCTGTCATGTTAAACCATGTGGTATCAGAATAATGCCAGAATCCACAAAAGGTTACGCCTACGTAAACACCTGCCATGAAAGAAAAGGAAAATTAAAGCCAGGCAACTTTACAAGGTGAGTCACTCAATTGTATGGTGTTAGGCCTTCAGGGGCAAGAGCCCAGAGTCAGTTCCATCTTCCAACTTGTTGTCCTCTCTTGCCTCAACTCCCTCTCAGCACTTTGACTCTCACTTCTCCAAGCGTTGGAAAGATGAAGTAACTTAAAGTTACACCACATAATATTAGCCAACCATCTGATTGACTCCTAGAATGATTACTGCTGGGAATAATATGCCCTTAAAATCAATCCTCTTAAGGTATTGGTTCATTCTCTTAAAGTATCTTCCATCTTTTTTTACATAGAAGGGCATCAGAATATGCCACACCAAAATATGCCACTTTGGTTTAAGGATTTTTTTTTTTTACCTGAAGGCAATTGAGAATCAATAAACGCAGTCTCTACCCTCCCTTTATCTGCTTAAAAGCAAGCATAAATTGCCCCTTGTACCAGAAAAAAAAAAAAAAAAGAGCATTTTTATCACTGGAGATAGGGAGCCCTTATCTGTCATTAGTTCCCCTATATATTTTCTAGTCACAACTTCCTTACAGCTAATTGTTCCTTGATTCCTAAATCCACTTCTTTTGTGAAAATGGTACATAATTTCCTGATTTAACCACTTGAGTTTCATTTCTTTTTTGTGGACTGCCATGCACATAAATAATAAAAAAAAATTTTGTGCCTTTTATCCTGTTAATCTGTTATTTGGGCTGGGCATGGTGGCTCACACCTATAATCTCAGCACTTGGAGAGGCCGAGGCAGGAGGATCACTTGAGCCCAGTAGTTTGAGACCAGCCTGGGCAACATGGTATAACCCTGTCTCTACAAAAAATGCAAAATTAGCCTGGTGGTGCATGCCTGTAGTCCCAGCTACTCAGAAGCTACTCAGAGGTGAGAGGATCGCTTGAGCTTGGGAGGTCAAGGCTGTAGTGAACTATGATCATGCGACTCCAGGCTGGGAGACAAAGAGAGACCCTATCTCAAAAAAAAAAAAAAAAAAAAAAATCTCTTATTTGTCGATTTAATTCATAGAGCCCTATTCACTAAGCATAAGAGAACAGAGGAAAATTTTTCCTCCCTAACAGTACCCTTCTAAGCATAAAGATGCTCCTATTTCAGGAATATAATTTTAGTTAATAATAATTTTTTAAAACTCCAAAGAAGAAAATTAAAATGTAAACTCCAAGAGAGGAAAAACTATGATTTACTTTTTTATTTGTGATTTTAAAAATAGAAAAAACTTTTGCTAAAGTTTCATTAAAACCTTGTAAATGAAGAAGATTGAACACATCACAAATCCTAAAAGTACTTTGCTCCCCGACCCCATCTTTTCTTGGTCTTAGGTAGGAATGTCTGGAGTCTTTTGTGTTTTAAATGTGAGGTGCTGATCTGAAGTTTTGTCAAAGGACATAACTACTGGGCTGGGGAGGAGGGGAGGCTAAGGACCCTTGGCAATCTAACGCATATACTTTATTTCCAAAAGAGGACATTTGTAGAACGAGTCATATTGTGAAGTGTGAGTTTTAACTGCCAGCTCTTTTCTGTTTAAGGAAAGCTGTAGAAGGAAGTGTTATTTATTATTGTATACTTTTTCCAGGAAGAGGAAAACTAAAGATAAACTTTGCCTTTCTAAGAGTTAAATCTAGTTTTACAGATAATGGTGGAATTTTTTTTTTTTATTTGACAGAGTCCACCTAGGCTGGAGTGCAGTGGTGTAATCTCCACTCACTGCAACCTCTGCCTCCCAGGTTCAAGCAATTCTCATGCCTCATCCTCCTGAGTAGCTGGGATTACAGGTGTGCACCACCATGTCTGGTTAAATTTTAGTAGTTTTGGTAGAGACAGGGTTTCGCCATGTTGGCTAGGCTGGTCTCGAACTCCTGACCTCAAGTGATCTGACCGCCTCAGCCTCCCAAAGTGCTGAAATTACAGGTGTGAGCCACCACCCAGCCTAACGGTGGAATATTTTAAGTGGGAATAATTATAGATGTCCAGCATGCTATCACATGACCAGATTCTTGCAAAAAATGACTATTTAATGCAGAAATAATCAAATAAACACTTTATGCTGGTTAATATTTACAGACTAAAATTAAGTTACAGGCTACTCTCTGTGACAAACTATCCCAGGGCTTCTAGAAGCTGATGCAGACCGTTGTGAAAAGTTTAGCTTTTATTCTAACGGCAAAGGGAAGCCACAGGAGTGTTGGAAGCAGGGAAGTGATGTGATCTGGTTTATACTTGAGAACATCATTCTGGTAGGTGTATGGAGGCTGGTTTGTATTGGCACAAGAATGGAAATAGAGAGATTACTTAAAAGGCTGTTAATTAGTCTAATAAAAAAAAATGTTGACTTGACCTAAGATTTTAGCAGAGAAGTGAAGTGGTCACATTGGGGATGGACCCTGGAGACAGCACAGTCGGGGAATGTTGTGAGGGTAAGAGCAGTCAAGAATGTGTCCTAGATTTCAGTTCTGACCAATTTAATACTAATTGGGATGAGAAATACTGGAGAGAAACAGATTTTTCGAGGGAGATGAATCAAGAGTTCTGGATTAGACTTGCTGTATTTGAGATGCTCATTAGCCATCAAGAAGAAATGCATAATAGACAGCTGAAGAGAGGAGTAGTTTTGTTTCAAAGGGGTGGTCAGCAGCAGCAATACAGATTTGGGAATCATCAGCCTGAAGATGACATTACTACCATCAGACTGGCAAGTCTTCCAGAGGGAGAATGTGGTAACTTAAGGAAGGAGAGCCAAAAACAAAGCCCTAGGTTCATCAGCATTTAGGGGTCACACCAAAAAGGAGCCCTCCTAGAAAACTAAAGAGTGACCAATGAGAAAAGATAAAGAACTTGAAAGTATTATCAAAAACGCTAAAAGAAGAAAGTGTTTTGAGCAGAGACTGGTCGACTGTGTTAAATGCTGCTGGAAAGGAAAGTAGAATGGGCATAAAAGACTGGCTGTTGGAATTGGCAATATGGAAATTGTGAGTGGCCTTGAGAAGAAATGTTTTAGAAGAGTGATGGAAACCAGAGTCTGATTTGTAGTGGAAAGAAGATAAAACGGGAGGTGGAAAAACAGCATCATCTACACTAAATTCTGGCCTTAAATATTTTTTTTGAAGGGGAACAGAGAAGTGGAGATGGAAGTAAAGCGAGATAAATGAAGGTTTTGTTTAATTAAGATGGGGGATATTAGGGTATGTCTCTATCCTAATGGATACAATCCATTGAGGAGGAAGAGTGTGATGATGTTGGAGAGAAAAATGAGAATTGCACAACAGATGCAAGAGCAAGGTTGTTCAGATGACTGCAAGGAATGGAATCCAGAACACAAGGGCTGAGGGGTAGCCTTTGATTGCAGTAGAGACATTTCTTACAGTGCAAGAGGCAGAAAAGGCAAATCATACAAATGCAGGTATGATGGCACATTTCCAGTTGCAACAATGTGGTTTCTATAATCAATCTTTATTTTCTCTGAAGTATTATATAAACGAACAGCCAAGAGTAAGAGAGGAAGAGTATTTGAGGAGTGGAAAGAAGTGTGATAAATTTATTTTTGCAGAGTGGGAAAATAAATATACGAGGGAAGAGTGATAGGATTTATAGGCAGTAGGCTTTATAGGCAGTGCTGAGTGCCCACTTAAGATTCATGATCATGAATTTAGAGTGAGACTGGTCAGTGAAATGTCAAAATGAGACTAGCATGCAGTTTTTCCCCAGCAATATTCTGCTCTTCCAGGACAGGAGCAGAGGTGGTTTTAGAGTTGGGGTTGGGCAGGCAAGGAAGAAAAAGAAGGGCAAGGGAGTTACAAAAGTATTTAAAAAGATGGACTCTGAGAATTATGGTGAGAACAGAGGAAAATGAGGATGTTGGGTAGTGAAAAAAAGTGGTAGTGACAATGGATTAAGATCTCAATGAGATCAAAGAAATGTTGAAGTGTGAGTACTAGAACAGACTGAAAGAATAAGAGGCCGTGGACAGAGTGTAAGATGCAGGTACTACAGATTTCAGGGACACTGACATTAGAGATGACAAGGTGAGGAGCATAATCATTTAAATCTTTACTCCATCTTGAGTTAACTTTTGTATATGGAGAAAGGCAAGGATCCAGTTTCATTTTTCTTTTGCATATGGCTAGCCAGCCAACTCAGCACCATTTATTGAATAGGGTCTTTTCCCCAATGCTTATTTTTGTTAACTTTGTTGAAGATCAGATGGTAGTAGGGGTGTGGCTTTATTTCTGGATCCTCTATTCTGTTCCATTGCTCTGTGTCTGGTTTTGTACCAGTACCATGCTGTTTTGGTTACTGCAGCCTTGCAGTATAGTTTGAAGTTGGGTAATGTGATACCTCAGGCTTTGTTCTTTTTGCTTAGGATTGCTGCGGTTATTTGGGCTCTTTTTTGTTCCATATGAATTTTAGAATAGTTTTTTCTAATTCTGTGAAAAATAACATTGGTAGCTTGATAGGAATAACATTGAAGCTATATTGATAGGAATAGCATTGAATCTGTAGACTGCTTGGGTAGTATGGCCATTTTGATGATAATGATTCTTCCAATCCATGAGCATGAACTGTTTTTCCATTTGTGTGTATCATCTATGATTTCTTTCAGTAGTGTTTTGTACTCCTTCTTGTAGAGATCTTTCACCTCCTTGGTTAGATGTATTCCTAGGGAGGTGTGTATGTGGGAGTGGGGTATTGTAAATGGGATTGTGCTCTTGATTTGGCTCTCAGCTTGAATGCTATTGGTGTATAGGAATGCTACTGATTTTTCTACATTGATTTTTGTACCTTGAAACTTTACTGAAATTGTTTACCAGTTCTAGGAGCTTTTTGGTAGTCTTTAGGGGTTTCTAGGTATAAAATCATACTGTCAGCAGAGAGAGAGAGTTTGACTTCTTCTATTGGATGCCTTCTTCTCCTATTTGGATGCATTTTATTTCTTACTGTTGCCTGATTGCT